CCTTCCAGATGTGCATCTGTGCCTGTACATAGGTAAGCATATAGATTTCTTTCTTTTTGGTCAGTTGTGGAGCTTGAACTCTGGGCCTGGGAACTGTCCCTCAGCTCTTCATCTCAAGGCTAGCACTCTACCACTTGAACCACAGTGTCACTTCCAGTTTTCAGGTGGTTAATCGGATATAGTCTCATTGACTTTCTTGCTTGGGCTGGCTTTGAACCATGAACCTCAGATCTCAGCCTCCTGAGTTAGCTAAGATTACAGACGTGAGCCACCAGCGCTGGGCTGCATATAGATTTCTACAAATAGTCACAATCCGGTGCCAGTGGCTCATGCTTGTAACTGTAGCTACTCAGGAGGCTGAGATCTGAGAATCTGGGTTCAAAGTTTGGGTAGAAAAATCTACGAGAGGGGCTGGGAAGGTGACTCAGTGGTAGAGTGCTTGCCTTGCATGCATGAGGACCTGGGTTCGATTCCTCAGCACCACATAGGCAAAAAGAAAAAAAAAACGGAAGTAGTGCTGTGGCTCAAGTGGTAGAGAGCTAACCTTGAGCTGAAGAGCTCAAGGGCCAGCGCCCAGGCCCAGAGTTCAGGCCCCACACCAGACCGAAAAAATAAAAAAGAAAGAGAGAAAGAAAGAAAAGTCTACAAGACTCCTATCTCCAGTTAAACATTTAAAAAAAAAGAAAAAGGCAGGCCCTTGTGCTAGCTCATGCCTATAATCCTAGCTACTTAGGAGGCTGAGATTTGAGGACCACAGTTAGAAGCCAGCCCAGGCAGAAAAGTCCAGGAGACACTTATCTCTAATTAACCACCTAAAAATGGGAAGTAGATCTATGGATCTAAGAATTTAAGGATTGGAGTGTAGCTTAAGTAGCAGAGAGTTTGTCTAGTGAGTTCAAGGCCCAGAATTCCAATCCCTTGTACCATCACAACACAAATACTACTAAGTGTTCCAGGGTGGCACTCTACTACTTGAGCCACAGCTCCATTTCTGGCTTTTTGCTGGTTAATTGAAGATAAGTCTCAAGGACCTCTGTGCCAGGGCTGGCTTCAAGTGTTGATCCTCAGATCTCAGCCTCCTGAGTAGCTAGGATTATAGGCATGATTCATGTTTTTCTTTTCTTCCTTCCTGCTTTTTCTTTTGTGATGTTGGGGCAGAGCCCAGTGCCTCATGAATACTAAGTGATTCCCTGACTCCCCCACCCCCAGAGTCTTAACTAAGACCGTAGGGCTGCTCAGCCTGATGAGAAACTTGGGAGGAAGGGCTGGAATAGGAAAGGATATAATTATCCTTCCCTTTGCTTCTATCTAAGCATTACTGTCATCCTTCCTCCTCCCCCTCCCCCCACTTAAAAATGAACGCTGTGAGTTATACTTACTTGTGGCTGTCTCTCAGGACTGACTTAATTCACACTGTCTGAATCTTTAACAACTGATCCAGAGAGCAGTGACTGGATTTGAACTGTCAGCCCCACCACACTACTCAGCTCATGAAGTAATAACTAGAGTTTACCCTAAGTGAGCTCATCTCATAGACAAAGCCTGTTCTAACAGCTTTATGTGATGTAGCTCATACGCTATAATCTTCATCAGGTGTGTGTGTGTGTGTGTGTGTGTGTGTGTGTGTGTGTGTATGTGAGTGATATGTGTACACATGTCCAGTACTGGGGCTTGAACTCACAACCTTACACTTTTGCTTGGCTCTTTTGCTCAAGGCTGGTATGCTACCACTTGAGCCCCAGCTTTGCTTCTGGCTTTTTGCTGATTAATTATAGAAGCTGGGCACCAGTGGCTCATGCTTGTAATTCTAGCTATTCAGGAGGCTGAGATCTGAGGCTGGTGGTTTGAAGCCAGCCTGGGGAAAGAAAGTCCATGAGACTCTTAGCTCTAATTAATCACCAAAAAGCAAAGTGGAACTGTGGCTTTAGTGGTAGAGTGCTAGCCTTGAGCAAAAGGAACCTTGGCACAGACACAGCACCCAGTCACAGAGTTCAAGCCCCAGGATGGGGGTGGGGAGGGAGAGGGGGGAGAGAAAGTCTCATGGACTTTTTTTTTCTGCCCAGGCTGGCTTCATGCCACAATCTTTTGACCTCACATTCTTTAAGTAGCTAGAATTACAGGTGTGAGCCACCAGGTCTTGGCTTTTTTTTTTTTTTGGTCCGGTTGTGGGCCTAAACTCTGGGCCTGGGCGCTGTCCCTCAGCTCTTCAGCTCAAGGCTAGTGCTCTACCACTTGAGCCACAGCGCCACTTCGGGCTTTTTTCCTTTTGCTTATATGGTGTTGGGGAATCGAACCCAGGGCCTTATGCATGCAAGGCAAGCACTCTACCAGTGAGCCACCTTCCCAGACCAGGTCTTGGCTTTTTCAGGTTTTTACAAGAATAGAATTATCACTGGGGCCATTGAACAGGTATAGAAATGGAGTCACCAGAAAGCTAAAGATGCACAAGGTCACACAGTTCTAAATGACTATGTGTCACCATAGTCATATGTATTTACTAAAGCTGTGAGTTTAGCGTGTTAGGACTCCCAATCTTGTTAGTTAGAATAGAAGGAAGACCCAGAGAGATGACTTTTCTAGGTTACATAGGAGAAATAAACTAGTAATGAGCTTGAAGTAGGGATATAATAAGCCAGGGTTTGTGGTACATACTTGTAATCCCAGCACTCAGAAAGCTGAGGCAGGAGGATGGTGCTGTGAAGCCAGTCTTGGTTTCATAGGGAGATCCACTATCAAAAAAACAAAACAAACCAGACCCTGGTGGCTTACACCTGTAATCCTTGCTACTCAGGAGACTGAGATCTGAGGATCACAGTTCAAAGCCTGCCCAGGCAGGAAAGCCCGTGAGACTCTTATCTCCAATAAGTCACCAGAAAACCAGAAGTGGTACTGAGGCTCAAGTGGTAGAGCACTTGCTATGAGCTGAAGAGCGCAGGGACAGCACCCAGGCCCAGAATTCAAGCCCCACGACCAACCAAAAAAAAAAAAAAAAATCTAAGGCACAGTGCCCAGGCCCCAAGTTCAAGCCCCAGGACTAGCACAAAATAAATAGATAAAAAACAAAACAATAGGGGCTGGAAGGTGGCTCAGTGGTAGAGCGCTTGCCTTGCATGCATGATGCCCTGGGTTCCATTTCTCAGCATCACATAAGCAAAAAGAAAAAAGCCAGAAGTGATGCTGTGGCTCAAGTGGTAGAGCACTGGCCTTGAGCTGAAGAGCTGAGGGACAGCGCCCAGGCCCAGAGCTCAGGCCCCATGACCGGACCCCAAAACAAACAAACAAACAAAAAAGATACATATATGGCATATATAAGGCCTTGGATCTGGCCTCTAGAACTATACATACACATACGCCTTTCTATATAAATATATACCAAGTAAAAGGTACCTTTATGGCACATTTTTCAAAATGCATAGAAACCAAAAAAGTACACATTAAGCACAGTAGCGTAATTGCCTTAGGATGGACAGGCAGAAGAGTGAGTTTTAGCGCTATGTTGGTCTGCTGGAGTCTACCTAAGAGAATATCTCAGCCTGGGTGTCTAAAACAACAGACGTTTATTTTCTCACAGTTTTGAAGACTGGAAATCTGAGATCAAGGTGCCAGCATGATTGGTGTCTGGAGGCCTCTCTCCTTGGCTTGCTGATGGCCCTCTACTGGCTGTGTCCTCATTTGGCCTTTTCCCTGTGGATAAAAAGAGAGAGAAAGAGAGAGAGACAGACAGAGAGACAGAAAGGATAGAGAGACAGACACAAACAGAAAATTTGTGTTTCTTCCATTTATTAGGACACTAGTGTTATTGAATTAGGGCCCCAAACGCACGTGTGTGTGTGTGTGTGTGTGTGTGTGTGTGTGTACTAGCACTGGGACTTGAATTCAGGGCTTGGGCACTTGAGCCATAGCTCCACTTCTGGCTTTTTGCTAGTTAATTGGAGATGAGTCTCACAAACTTTCTTCCTCTGAACCTCAATCTTCAGATCTCAGCCTCCTGAGTGGCTAGGATTACAAGCATGAACCACTTACACCGGGCTCCAAGCTTGTTTAAGTTTAATTACCTCATTTAATCCTTTTTTTTTTTTTTTTTGCCGGTCGTGGGGCCTGAACTGTGGGCCTGGGCTCTGTCCCTCAGTTTTTCAGCTCAAGGCTAGCGCTCTACCACTTGAGCCACAGTGCCACTTCAGCTTTTTCTACTTATGTGGTGCTGAGGAATCGAACCCAGGGCCTCATGCATGCAAGGCAAGCACTCTACCACTGAGCCACCTTCTCAGCCCTACCTCATTTCATCCTGTCTGTACATAGATTTGCACTGGGGGACTAAGACTTGAACATAAGAATTTAGTGGAGGAAGGGTAAGATACAATTCAGTCATAACAGAGGCTAAAAGAAAAATAATAAACCAAAAAGAAGGGAAAAGAGAAGAACATGGAGTTGTTTTTCTTTGTTTTTTTTTTTTTAGGTCTGTCGTGGGGCCTGAACTCTGGGCCTCGGCGCTGTCCCTCAGCTCTTCGGCTCAAGGCTAGCGCTCTACCACTCGAGACACAACATCACTTCCGGCTTTTTTCTTTTTGCTTATGTGGTGCTGAGGAATCGAACCCAGGGCCTCGGGCATGCAAAGCAAACACTCTACCACTGAGCCACCTTTTCAGCCCCAAGAACATGGAGTTGTAGAGGCGGGTGGGCTCCAGATGGAGTAGGCCCTTGTAGAAACTTAGTTTTAAGGCTCAGAGAGAGTAATTGCTTATCTTTTGCAGTACTGGCATTTAGCTGAGTCTTGCACTTTCAAGGCACGTGTTCTGCACTGAGCCACACCCCCAGTGCTTGTGTGTGTGTGTGTGTGTGTGTGTGTGTGTGTGTGTGTGTGTGTGTGCTAGTACTGAGTGATGGGTAAAGGGATCCAGAATGTAGGAGTCCCAACTCTTCTTGGTTTTGTCTTTCCCTATCTCTCTGGCCTGGGCCAATTGAAGCATCTCCACTTCCTATACTGCCCGCCCCCTTCTTTGTAGCACTCAATTTCCTGCCTCACAGAGGAAGTGGGGAGAGATACCAGGTGCAGCAACAGCTAGTGGAGCCATGGTGAGTCCTTATGCCCAGGATCTCTGCCCCACTCCCTCCAGAGCCCCCTCCCCCCACAACCTTGGTTGACACACAGTAGGCTGACTTTTCCTAGCCTTTGGGTTCAGGTGATAAGGGGGCTATTCCACAGAGCCTCATATGGAGTCCCCCTCACCCCTCCCAACAGGACAAGGAGTATGTGGGTTTTGCAGCCCTCCCCAACCAGCTGCACCGCAAGTCCGTCAAGAAGGGGTTTGACTTCACACTCATGGTGGCAGGTCTGGGGGTTCTAGGAAGGGCTTTGGGGAAATGGGTGGTGTCCCCAGGGAACCCTAGCTCTCCTTTCCTCTGATCGATTGCCTTGGTCTGCCCACAGGGGAATCAGGGCTGGGGAAATCCACCCTCATCAACAGCCTGTTCCTTACCAACCTGTATGAGGATCGGCAGGTGCCAGATGCCAATGGTAAGACCCTCCTGCCCTCTCCTTTGGCTGTATCCCTAGACTGACTCTTTTCTGTTCCAGCTGGGGACTCACTAGCCACTGCTTCTCCCCTTGAAGAACGAGTGGCAGCAGCTGTGTTGCTGGGAAAGGAACTCAGTTGTGGCTTCTCCCCACCCCCCACAGCCCGTCTGACGCGAACGCTGACCATTGAGCGCAGGGGTGTGGAGATGGAGGAGGGGGGTATCAAGGTGAAGCTGACCTTGGTGGACACACCTGGCTTTGGGGACTCTGTGGACTGCTCGGACTGGTGAGGAAAAGGGCAGGGGATGGGAGATGAGCTTCTCAAAACAGCTATCTGGAGGCCCAGGGGTCAATCACAGGGTTAAGTCTATCCTGGATCCAAAAGGAAGTCATTTCTGGGCTTGGTGACATCTCGCCTATGTCCCCACCCATTGCCTTTGATGCCTTTGGTTGGCAGCAAAGGAATTATTTCTTGTTCCCATAGCCCTGGTTAGCCTTATCCCCGTCCCTGCCCTCTAGCCTCTGATCTCTGACCCCCCACATCCTCTTCCCACACCCCAGCTGGCTGCCTGTGGTTCGCTTCATTGAGGAACAATTTGAACAGTATCTCAGAGATGAGAGTGGACTGAACAGGAAGAACATCCAAGATTCCCGGGTTCATTGCTGCCTCTACTTCATCTCGCCCTTCGGCCGGGGGTCTGAAAGACAACCCGAGGGGTGGGAGTGTTAGGGGTGTCTGCCTATTGGAACTTGGTCCTGACTAATTTCTGGGTGCAGGCTCCGACCCCTAGATGTGGCCTTCCTCCGGGCAGTGCATGAGAAAGTCAACATCATTCCAGTTATCGGTAAAGCGGATGCTCTGATGCCTAAGGAAACCCAGGCCCTCAAGCAAAAGGTGTGGGCATTGACCTTAAAGTGAAAAGTCATGACCAAACACAATCTTAGGTTTGATTTTCTTCCTTTAGATGGGTGTGGGGTGGAGGAGGTTGGCTTTCTTAGAATTCTAAGTGTCAGGCTAGATTATAAGAGAAAATGTCCGAGGAAGGTGGGCAGGGGGTTGCTATTCCTGAAAGGGTCAGAACAAGATGGATGTTCAGTACCAGAACTAGATACTTGGCTAAGACCCACTTGGCCATGATGATCTCTGACATTGTTTTAGCCCCTACCTGGTGTCTTTAGAACCTTTGCCCCCTGTTCTATTTGTCTCTCCTGATCTCCGGGTATCTGTCCCACCTTTCTCAGTTTCTAGCCATTTATGCCTTTAAGATTTTGTTGGTGGTGGTGGCGGTTGTGAGTCTTGAACTCAGGGTGTGGGTGTTGTTCCTGAGCTCTTTCACTCAAGGCTAGTGCTCTACCACTTTGAGCCATAACACAACACTTCTGGTTTTTTGGTGGCTAATTGGGGATAAGAGTTTCACCAACTTTCCTGCTTGGGCTGGCTTTGAACCATGATCCTCAGATCTGAGCCTCCCGAGTAGCTAGGATTACAGGCATGAGCCACCAGCACCCAGCTAGATTTTATTTTTGGTTAGCTTCTATGTGTATCCCTCACCATCTCTGTCTTTCCTCTCTTCTTTTGTCTCTGACCATCCACTGTCTCTGGCCAGGCCAATATTCGCTAAGCCTCTGTTCCTCACTCTGTATCTGTTTCCTTTGAGATCCGGGACCAGTTGAAGGAGGAGGAGATCAATATTTACCAGTTTCCGGAATGTGATTCTGATGAAGATGAAGATTTCAAGAGGCAGAATGAAGAGATGAAGGTGGGAGAAGCACAGGAGGAAGAGACAGAGAAACCAAGAAGGCAGATGTGGAGGTGGAAGCTGATCATTTTCTGCCCACTAGGGGCCGACATGACCCCTGATCCCTGTCTTCTAGGAAAGCATTCCTTTTGCAGTGGTTGGTTCCTGCGAGGTGGTGAAGGATGGCGGGACCCGACTAGTGAGGGGACGCCGCTATTCCTGGGGTACCGTGGAGGGTAAGGCGTAGAAACTTTCTGGCGCCAGCTGGGAGCCCAGAGTCTGCACCTGATGTGTGAAATTGGAGTGGGCACTAGTTTGGGGAGTTCCTGGGAATCCAACTAGGGATGCCTGGGTTGCAAAATGTGGGTCCCTGAGAAGTACAACAGCAGGACTCCCAGTGCACCTAACCTTGATCCTGAGGTTGGGCCCGAAGCTCCCCGTCCAGCTCTGGTTCCCCCCATCCCCCCCTCCAGTGGAGAACCCACATCATTGCGACTTCCTGAATCTGAGACGGATGTTGGTGCAGACACACTTGCAGGACTTGAAAGAGGTGACGCACGATCTGCTCTACGAGGGCTACCGAGCCCGCTGCCTCCAGAGCCTGGCCAGGCCTGGGGCTCGAGACCGAGCCAGTCGCAGGTGAGAGCTGGAGCCGACTTATTTTAGATGCTTTTATTTTCGTGCCCGACCCTTAGGGCAGCCTTTTGGGTAGGCCCCGCCCCAAGCCCCGCCTCCAACAAGACTTCTCCCTCACTTTCTCCTCCCACTTTGCCTAACTCAGCGTCCGTGGCCCCGCCTCCCAGGCCCAACTTCTCCCCAAACCCAGACCCCGCCCCTGACTCCGATCTCCCCCTCCCCTTTACTCGCTCTCCCCCCCCTCATCCTCCCAGTAAGCTGTCTCGTCAGAGTGCCACAGAGATCCCGCTGCCCATGCTGCCTCTGGCCGAGACGGAGAAGTTGATCCGTGAGAAGGACGAAGAGGTGAGCAAGTGCCTCACTTCCCCTCCAAACGAGGCCCTGGGTCATTTTCACGGTGCCCCTTGGGCTTTGCCTGGTCCCATCGCCTGCAATCTTGCCCTGCACAGCTACGCCGCATGCAAGAGATGCTGGAGAAGATGCAGGCCCAGATGCAGCAGAGCCAGGCTCAGGGCGAGCAGTCGGACTCTCTCTGAGATCCCCGCCTCTGCCCTTCCTTACTCGGCTCCGCCTTAAGTCGGTCGCTTGTCCAATCCTCGGGTTCCGATTGCCCAGCCGGACCCCAACCACTAGATGGGCCCTGGCACTTGCTTTGCGCAGGTGCTCAGACTAAATGGTTCAGCCCCGGAGCACTGTGCCTGAATGTGCAGCCCCGCCCCGCCAGAAGCCCCGCCCACCGCCAGAAGCCCCGCCCAAGCCCACTCCCCGCCCAGTTCTTGCAGAGGAGCTCTCCAGGCCAGGCCTAGACCGCTCCTCTCCCCTTGGGGGGTGTCCCCTTCTTCATTCAATAAAATCAGCTTCTCATATCCACTCGAGTGTTCTCCATCCTCCCAGCCCGCTGGCCTCCTGGCCCTTGATTCATTCATTTGTTGGGACACTGTTTGGACAGCATCAGCCCAGCTTTGAACTTGAGCCCCTCTCACATAAACATACTGAAGGCGCCGTTAATAAGAAAGAAAGACCAGTTGAATTTTATTGGGAGTTTGTTTGGGTGAGAATCGGACTGGCTGGAAGTGTTGTTGGCCACCAGAGGCCCTAAGAGGGTCCTCTCTACTCCTGGTCCTTAGCATCACCGTGCGTGATGACGTAGCAGATGTTCTTGTAGTCTACGTTGCCGCCCACATCTGGGGGGAAGGCAGCCCACATATTCTTGATCTGAGGGAAGATGCACCTACACCTCAGCATCAGTTCCTGGCCCTTTCCCTCCCAGTTCCTTCCTCCTTCCCAGCCTCTCTCCCCACTCACCTCCTCCTGGGAGAAGCGGTCACACTGTGTGGTAAGCAGCTCCTCCAGGCTGGAGAGGTGACATTAAGGGAATTGAGATTGGGTTCATGATTCCTGTCCACTTCCATCCCCGTTGCCACCCCCATGCTTCTCTGGGGCCTACTCTTAGATCTTTCACTCGTTTTCCAAAACTGCTCCCTCTTAAGTTTGTCCCAATGTGCTGCAAAAATGTAATCCTACTACTAAGTTTCTCTGTCTCTATCTTTCTTTTTTCTTCCTTGCTTGCTTGCTTCCTTCCTTCCTTTCGCCAGTCCTAGGGCTTGAACTCAGGGCCTGGGCAGTGTCCCTGAACTTCTTTTGCTCAAGACTAGCACTCTATCACTTGAGCCACAGCACCACTTCTAGTTTTCTGGTGGTTAATTGGAGATAAGAGTCTCACCAATGGGCTGGGAAGGTGGCTCAGTGGTAGAGCGCTTGCCTTGCATACATGAGGCCCTGGGTTCTATTCCTCAGCACCACATAAGCAAAAAGAAAAAAGCCGGAGTGGTGCTGTGGCTCAAGGGGTAGAACTCTAGCCTTGAGCTGAAGAGCTGAGGGACAGTGCCCAGGCCCAGAGTTCAGGCCCCACGACCGGACCCCCCCCCAAAAAAAAACACAAAAACAAACAAACAAAAAGTCTCACCAACTTTTCTGCCTGGATTGGCTTTGAACTGCTATCCTCAGATCTCAGCTTCCTGAGTAGCTAGGATTACACGTGTGAGCCACCAGTTTTCTTTCTCTCTTACTCGCTATGTAGCCCAGACTGACCTGGCCTATATAGCCTAGGCTGGCCAATACCTTAGTAAGAATTTAAGGAGTCGTCTGTGTAGAAACAGTGAGAGGGGCCACTTACAACTGCTTCTTGATGGTGCCCTTCCCTTCTGGGTCCAGGACCTTGAAGGCACCTGTGATCACATCCTCGGGGTCAGCGCCTAAAGGATCAGAGGACATCATGAGTCAGAAGAGCGACTGATGGTCTGGGAAGAGGCAACTGGGGGCTTAACCCCAGGACACTTCACTCACCTTTAAGCTTCTCCCCAAACATGGTCAGGAAGACAGTGAAGTTGATGGGGCCACTGGCTTCCTTCATCATGGCATCTAGTTCCTCATTTTTCACATTGAGGCGGCCTGCAGGGGGATAGGGGAAGCAGGGGCTGGGACTGGGTCCCCTAAATTTAGATTACTTCATTTTTTTTTCTTAGCTAGATAAACTGAGGCCTAAGACAACTACATTCCCCTGGATGCTGCAGTTTTGTACTGACTATTTATGGGTGGGAGTTTGGGGCTCACCCATGGCTGCGAAGGTGTCCCGAAGGTCCTCCTTGTCAATAATGCCATCACGGTTCTGATCAATTACAGTGAAGGCCTGGAGAGGGAAGGGGTGAGAAAGAATAAGGTCCCACATAGTCTGGCTTCAGCCAGATCAGATTCTGGCCCCCAGCCAGCTGTCCCCTTCCACCCTAAGCAGGGGGAAGGGAGGAAGGAATTCTAAACCTTCCTCCTCCCCCCAACAGGTGCACATTCCAGGGAGGGGACGGGAGGGCTGTCTTTGGTCTTTGGTCTCCCATCTCCCCTTACTCACCTCTTTGAACTCCTGGATCTGAGTCTGGTCAAACATGGAAAAGACATTGGAGCTCCCTTCTGCTGCTGCCCTTCTCTTGGCTTTCTTAGGTGCCTAGGGAGTGAGGATTGGGCAAAAGGGTCCATGGGCCAGTCCTTAAACCTCTATGGAAGCAATTATTAGATTCAAGTTTTTGTGGCGTTTCCCCCTTTTATTTCTTAAGATAGGGTCTCCCTTTGTCATCCAGGCTGGCCTTGAACTCAACTAATCCTCCTGCCTAGTCAGTCTCCCAAGTAGCTAGGACTATTATAAGAATCTTCACACACACACACCCATTTTTCCCCTATTTTTCTTGGTAGTGAGATTGCTGGGCAAGCATTGTATCACTTGATCCAGACCTCCAGCCCTTGAATCCCCCCCCCTTTTTTTTTTGGTCAGTCGTGGGGCTTGAACTCTGGGCCTGGCTGCTGTCCCTCAGCTCTTCAGCTCAAGGCAAGCACTCTACCACTTGACCCACAGCACCACTTCCAGTTTTCTGATGATTCATTGGAGATAGTCTCATTGACTTTCCTGCCTGGGCTGGCTTTGAACCCTGATCCTCAGATCTCAGCCTCCTGAATAGCTAGGATTACAGGTGTGAGCTACTGGCACTTACTTGAATCCCTTTTTGTAATTTTTCCCCTCCTTGGGATTTCTTTGCTGAGGGGGCTTAGCCCAAAGGTTACAACCCCCAAATCCCACCTGTAGTTCTGGGATCCCATTCCTTTCATCCTGCCCAATAGGTAGAAACTTCTTTCCCTTCTCAGTACTCTGTTTGCCTCCTAGCCCCTGACAAATTGTGTGGCCTTGATCTACTCATTTACTCTGGTTGAACCTCATTTCTAAAATGGGAGTAGGAATCATCATGTCCCAGAAGACTTTAGGAAGATGGAATGCAAGAAAGGACAGAACAGGCTTTGAGGGGGACTAGACCCTGGTGAATGGAATGGAAGATTATCCTTAAGTTCTTTAGATCTTCACTATGCCTGTTTCTTATTAGTAATGTTAAGAAAGACAAGCATCATCTGAGTATAAGGGATCTGACCAGGGGCAGGGGATTCTCTCACTCACCATGTCTTATGTCTTCTGGGGGTGAGGCAGGAGCTCCAGCTGAAACAAAGCAGAGAGTCAGCCTGGAGCAGTCCATGTGGAGTTATATAGCCCGGCCCCGGGAGCCCTTAGCATACCAGGGTAACCTTAGCCCTGTTGGTGCCCACCCCAGATACCAAAATAGCCCAGCTCAGGGCCTCTCCTTTCTTGGAGGGCCTGAAGCAGCTGGAGCCTAGGGAGGGAGGAGGGAGTGGGTCTTGGGATGAATGTCTCATTAGGACCTAGGCAGGAAGAGATTTTTTTTCCTCCCAAAAGAGGCCTAGAATAGGTGGTGTAATAAGGTATAGTAACCATTGATTGGTTACCTACAGTGTACACAGGTAGTATGCTGTGCTTTGTGAGTACATGTTGGTAAATACAGTCCCTGTGCACCCACATCCTAGGATTCATAGTCCACTGTGTATTGGTGTGGAGGTAGTGGCAAAGCTTAAAGATGGGAAAGAAATACCTGTGGAATCTAAAAGCTCAGGAAGATTTCCTATCCTATTTTTTTGTGAGGAAAGATAGTCTGTGGTTTCAGGCTTTGAACTTTAAACCCCTGGGCCTGGGTTTCATTTCTATAAAATGAGAACAGCTCTCATACTGCAGAATTTTGTATTATAGTCAACAGTTAAGCTCTTCCCTGGTGAAATTCAATAGTTTAGCCATGGAAGACAGGAATAAATGCTAAGAGTGATATGTCTGCTGGTCAGAAGTCTAAAAGTAGACAGCACAGTAACTTTGGGAATATAGGAATGGCTTCAGGAAGGTTCCTAGGTGGAGAAAAACAGATGAAGATGGAGGAGTAGACACACTAAGCAGAGTGCCCAGCATGAGCAAAGATCAGGTGTTAGAGTTGTTAACAATCATAGGCTTAGAGTAGAGGATGCAAAATGCTAGTGACTAGACAGTATGGGACATTCAATGCAGTGGTAAAGACTGATAAACTTGGCAAAATTTGAAGCAGGAAAAGAACATGGACTAGTCTGAGACTAGATCATTTCTCTAGGTTCTGGTGTGGAGCCTGGGCCTCAGTGGAAGGGAGGTAAAGACATCAAGAGGGAAGCCAGGTGCCAGTGGCTCACGTCTGTAATCCTAGCTACTCAGGAGACTGAGATCTGAGGATCGTGGTTCAAAGCCAACCCAGGCAGGAAAGTCTGTGAGACTCTTTTCTCCAATAAACCACTAGAAAATTGGAAGTGGTGCTGTGGCTCAAGTGGTAGAGCGCTGGCCTTGAGCTGAAGAGCATGGGGACAGCGCCCAAATCCAGAGTTCAAGCCCCACAACCAACAACAACAACAACAACAAAAAATATCAAGAGGGAAGCTGGCTGCCACCTTATCCTAGGTGGCTGGGATAGTTAGTGACTTCTTTTCGCTATAGGTAAGAGAGTTTGGCTATGTGACTCTGATGTACCCTCTCCTAACCCTATGGGTCTTCATGCAGTGAAGTCTGGGGAAATAGTGATGGAAGAAGACCCAGATAGGCAAGGATACCCATCTCCTACAGCTCCCTCTAGGACCTAATGTCCTGAGGAAGATATATCCTCCCCTCCCCTCCTCCAATCCCATGCCAATGCCTCTAAGACATTTTCTTTTCTGGGCACTGGGGCCCAGCCACCTGTTGTCTCTAAGAAGAGAGAAGGAGCCACCCTAAACTTAGCAGCTGTCCTTGGCCTCCTGCGCCAGCCCCTCCCGACCTCAGATGGCAGCTGCCTGGCCTTATATGGTTACCATGGGGGTCTATGCCAGGGAGGAGCCCACTTTATTAGTCCTTTCTGGGAGGGGAGGAGGCCTCCAAAAAGGGCAATGGGGCAGTACTCAGTAAACCTGAATCAAATGGAAGATAGGGACAATGAGGAGGCCAGATACTGAATAGGCAGGCGATCACAGTATTTGGGTCTGAGTTGGGAGGCTCTGAGCAACCTCTGGCAGAAACCAAAGAACTGGGAAGTTCCTTGGGAGCTAGATCTGTCTGAAATTTCAGGGTGGTGGAGTACCATATGAATACCGAGACCTTCTAATCCCCTGGTGTTTAGAAGTGGGAAGGTTGGACCTCATAAAATTTGGTTTTTATGTTTATGGCCTAAAGGCAACCTGGTGAGGGGGGAGGGCTGGTGATATTGGGGTATGGGTTCTAGAAATAAAGAGCACAGAGAGATGAGCCAATGAGGGGAGAGGGGCTGACTGATATACCTGTGTTCCTGGACTCTCTCAAGAACAGTAAGTTCATGATAGATAAGCCTCATAGATTTGGGTCCTGTGATTTCTCACTAGAATGGGGAGAGATGGGGTCTGGGAGTAGAGCTTGAATCTGGGTGAAGAACTCAGATTGATGGAAACTTGGGAGAGGGAATTGGGCTTGGGATTTCTGCCAGAAATGGGGAATCTAGACCGATAAATTCCTTAAAGTATCTGGGGGCTTTGACTATAGAGGCAGTCAGATAGAGTACTGGGTAAGAGCACTGGATCAGTAAGGGGCTCCGCAGCTGAATGGAAAATGGGGGCCCACAAAGGACTCAAGAAGGGCAGCAGCAGGCTAGTCATTGGTTAAGAGCTGCGCTAATGTTCCGGGCTTCTCCGTGCTGTCCCCAACTGTCACCCCCTTTCGCGCTTGTCTCCGGTTGTCACCGGCTATCCCCAGGCTGGCACTCTGCCTGCTAGCAGCATCCTTGCCTCCGTACCATTGGCTGTCGCTGTAAGTTATCTTCCTATGTTGCTAAAGTGGAGGAAAGCAATCATTGGTTGGATCGACAAATTAATCACAAGTGTAACCCGCCTCTCCCCAGCTGTCATTCCGTCCTGACCATCTTGGGAGAATTCTTCCGCTCTTCTATTGACTCTGGACGCTGTCACTGTTCTAATAGACATCACGGTCGTGTCATTTTGACCGCCTACCCACCCTTTTCATTGGCTCTCTTTTTACGTTTCTATTGGTTAGAAGGCTACCAAGCCCCGCCTCCTACCGCACAGCACCACGCTCATTTCCCGTTCTTCCGCAATCATTTGCTCTGTAGCTGTGTTTATTGGCCAGAAGGTTCAGATTCCTGGTTTTCTACTGGTTGTTTCCTTCGTCCCACCTCCTTCCTTGGCTCACCCTCTGATTGGCCTCCTCGTCCTCCGCCTTCTCCGTTTCCTCCTTCTAGATTACCCACCCACTTCCCGCCTCCAACACCACCCACCCAGCCATCGATTGGCAGGAACCCAGTTTCCTCTCTTCTATTATTCGTCCAAGTGCTTTGACAGAGGCGGGAGAAAAAAAGGGGCGCGAGGGGCCGGCTCCCGCGCAGGCGTGGAACGCGCAGACGCAGGCCGCTCCGCCGCGTGTGCGCAGGCGCGACGCCGGCCACTCGCTCCAAGCAGGAGGGAGGGGGCGGCGAGAGCGCTCAGGGGGAGGGGGGCGGTGAGAGGGCACGAGCGAGACCCCGGCGCGAGGCGCCCCGCGACCCCTGCCCCGCCCCCGCGCGCCCCGCGGCCGCCGCGCGCCGCCCCGCCCCTGGCGCGCGCCGGGCCGCGCCCTTCGCCCTCTCCCCTTCCCTGACGGGAGGCTCCGGGCGGCCTGAGGGGCGGCGCCTTCTGCGGCCTCCCCGGCCGGGGGATGTGAGGGGCGGCCGGCGGCTATGGAGACGGGCCCGGCGCCCCTGGTGGCCCCGCCGCGCCGTCATGGCGCCCCTGCGGCCCCCTCGCCGCCGCCCCGGGGTTCCCGGGCCGGGCCCATGTTGGTGGTGGCCCAGGGGCCGCCTGTGACTACGGCCACTTCGGCCCCCGTCACCCTGGTGGCCCCCGGGGAGGCGCGGCCCGCCTGGGTCCAGGGGCCGGCCCCGACCTCGGCCTCGACGGCCCCGGCCAGCACGGTGGTGGTGCTGACTCTGGAAGCTTCATCCGAAGCCCCGGAGATGCAGGTTCCCCCCGGCCCGGAGCCCCCGGTGCCCGCGCCCGCCGCCGCAGCCCCAGCGCCAGCGCCTCCGGCGTCAGGGGTGGACTCTCCGAAGATGGAAGAGATTCGAACCTCACCTGTCCCAGGACCAGGGACTCCCACCGGGACCCCCACCAAGACCCCTTCCAGAACAGCTCCTGGGGTTCTGGCCGGCAAACCTCCGCTCGCCCCCAAGCCGGGAACCCCAGTGGCCTCAGGAGCGACTGCACGGGGTGCAGCAGCAAAGGTGACAAGTGGACCTGGACATGGGGCTGCAACAGCAACACCAGCATCAGCAGGACAGGCTCCAGAGGACGCCTCGGGCCCGGGTCCTGGCGCTTCAGGGACGAGTGAGGCTCCGGTAGCTGTCGTGACGGTGACCCCAGCTCCAGAGCCCGTGGAAAACACTCAAGACCTGGGCTCTACATCCAGCTTGGGACCTGGCATCTCGGGGCCTCGGGGGCAGGCCCCGGACACCCTGAGCTACTTGGATTCTGTAAGCCTCATGTCCGGGACCTTGGAGTCCTTGGCGGATGATATGAGCTCCATGGGCTCAGACTCGGAGATAAACGGGCTGCCCCTGCGCAAGACGGACAAGTATGGCTTCCTAGGGGGTAGCCAGTACTCGGGAAGCCTGTAAGTAGCCACCAGGTACCCGGCAGGACCACCCCGGGAAGTGGAGGTCCAGGTGGAAGGGGGATGGTCAAATGACACACCTTGGCCAACCTATGGCTGCCCAGCCTCCTCTGAGGATGGGGGAGAGGCGGTTGATTAATAGGAATGTGGCATCTAGAGCAGCATATTGATGGTTTCATGGCATTGGCTTGTTGGGGGGGGGGCGGTCGGGGATCAAGGATCAGTACATCTGGTCCAAGCCTAGACCTTGTCTTTGGAGGGCTGTGTGTCCTTGAGCTAGTGGCATCCCTGTTTCTAAGCCCTAGTGTCTTCTATGAAGGGTTGAATGAAGTGATACTTAAGGTCATCTCAGCTTTTTGGTGGGGATTTCTAGCTACAGACCTGATGATCTGGAAGGTTGGTTGGGCAGTGGGGGATTGTGGTAGGGACCTTTGGCCTCTTTAGGGACAGTCTGGCAGGGATGCGGGCAATCTTCCTTCACAGCTGGAGTGATGAGGTAGAGAAATCAGCTTGATGGAGAAAAGACCCTGAAAACAGGGCTCCTCTGTGAAACAGAGGTCAGTTTTATGTCTTCACTGAAGGAAAGGGGGTGGGGAAGGCCTCTTCCCCATTTCCTCATCTCCCCAGCTGGGCTTACTCTTTCCTAGTTCCCTCCATGGGCCTGAGTCACTCCTGAGGTGGGGGAGTTACTGCTTCTGATTTCTTCCTTCCCTCAGTCGGATCCTGCTCATTGTTGTACCCCCTTAACCTGCTGGTCAGCTCAGCTTACAGCATCGTCTGAGCTCGTTTGTGCCAGTTCCTATGCTGCAACTCACCATAAAGTAATTCTTTTCTCCGGATGAGCTCATCTGGAGGTTGTGACTAGTACTTGAACAGCTGGTTTCAATACAGTATGTCAGGTGTAGCCTAGGAGGGTTTTGTGAACACCTGGAGAAGGGATCTTCTCCCCAGTGTGGTTCTGAATCATGAAGAATAAGTGTGTTTTAGACCTGACTCTATGTTGAAGTGGGGTAGGGTAAAGGATTGTGTATGGGGAATAAAAACGGTTTATAAGCTAGCAAATATCAGAAAAGTTTTGATTGAGCAACAACATTCATGGTATGTTGTAGAGAAGGTGGGCTGTAATTGAATTTTGACCCTGGTGCTTTCCCATGGCCCAGGAAGAGTTATGATCAGTTTATAGATGGATTAGAATTAGAACAGTTGAGTGAATTGCATGCCAAATGCCTCTTTCTTCAACACTAGACTGTCTTAAGGAATTTGGGTTAAATTCAAGTTCAGAGAGTCCCTCTTGCATGTGCTTGCCCTGTGCTTGAGTGCTGTTTCTCTGCTTTCTAAGTTTGGGGCTCTAAAAATGTGTGTTCTCTTCTTACCTTAGAGGTAAGGCTGACTGTGGCACTAGTTACCTTGAAAGCTTTTTTGTCTTCAGGGTAAAGTCCAAGCTCTTCAGCTTGAACACAAGCTCCTTATTCTGGCCACACCAGCCTCAGTCTGATTTCTCACTACTCATTTCCAGGCACTCTGCTCTGGTTCTGCAGAACTCATTGTAATTGTTCCCCATTTATATTTAGGCCTGTACCACCCGTTAAAAATGTTCTTTCCCTTCTTTGGTAATTCTCTTTTTTTTTTTTTTTCTTTTGGCTCGTCCTGGGACATGAACTCAGAGCCTAGGTGCTACCACTGAGCTTAAGGCTAGAACTCTACCACTTGAGCCACAGCTCCACTTCTGGCTTTTATTTTTTGGTAGTTAATTGGTCATAAGAGTCTCACGGACTTTCTTGCCTGGACTGGCTTCAAACTGAGATCCTCAGATCTGTCTCCTGAGCAGCTAGGATTACAGGTGTGAGCCACCAGTGTCAAGCTGCTAGGTAATTTCTACTCATTCTTTATGGTTCACATCAGATTCATTATTCTCCAAGAAGCTTTCCCTGATACCTGACTCTCCAATTATATGACTTGTGTGCATCTTTGCATTTCCCATACCATGCTGGAACTTCTTAGACTGTGATGTTCTTGTGCATAGGAAAGGTATCTAAATCTTCCTACCACTTAGCTCCATTTCCAGCTTTTTGGAAATTAATTGTAGATAAGAGTCTCTCAGACATTTCCTTTTGGGCTGACTTTGAACCTCAATCAATCCTCAGATATCAGCTTCCTGAATAGCTAGGATTACTGGTATCTAGATATGAATTCTTTGTTTTGTTTGTTGGTGCTATTTGTGTTTGAACTCAGGGCCTCATGCTTTCTAGGCAAGCGCTTTACCACTTGAGTCACACCTCCAGCCCTCTATGGGACTCTTTATCGCCTCCACTAAACTGTCAAAAAAAAAAAAAAAGCCAGAAGTACAGCTGTGGCTCAAGTGGTAGAGCACTGGCCTTGAGCAAAAAGAGATCAGGGACAGAACCTAGCCACTGGGTTCAAGCTCAATGACTGGCAAAAACAATAACAACAAAAAAACAGGGCTGGGAATGTGGCCTAATGGTAGAGTGCTTGCCTAGCATGCATGAGGCCCTGGGTTCGATTTCTCAGTACCACATAAACAGAAAAAGCTGGAAGTGACACTGTGGCTCAAGTGGTAGAGTGCTAACCTTGAGCAAATGAAGCTCAGGGACAGTCCCCAGGCCCGGAGTTCAAGCTCCAGAACTGGGGAAAACAAACAAACCCAAAACAATAAAACAAAAAACCTAGGCACCAGTGACTCATGTCTGTAATCCTAGCTGCTCAGGAGGTTGAGATCTAAGGGTCATGGTACAAAGCCAGCCTGGGCCAGAAAGTTAATAAGATTCATAACTCCAGTAAACTACCAAAAACTGAAAGTGAAGCTGTGGTCAAGTGGTAGAGCACTAGCCTTCAGCCAAAGAAGCTCAGGAACAGCAACCAGACCCTGAATTTAATCCCAGTACCAGCACACACATGAAAATGATATCTTTGTTAAGAAGCATAGAATTTATGCTCTGATCCTAAAACTTCTGCTTAACAGTCCTTTATATAGATTTTTTTTTTCTCATAGTACTCCAATTTTGTGATGACATCCCTTTTTATAGCCAAAGAAGAGACTCAGGTTATAGTTCCCAAGACTCTCTCCCTTACAAACCAGCTTATAAAGGACAGAGCTGGGACTTGAGCTTAGGTCTCCTTCCTTCCTTCCTTCCTTCCTTTCTTTCTTCTTTCTTTATTTTTGTCAGTCGTTGGGCTTTCTTTCTTCCTTTCTTTCTTTCTTTTTGTCAGTCGTTGGGCTTGAACTCGGTCTAGGCGCTATCCCTCAGCTCTTCAGCTTAAGGCTAGCACTCTACCACATGAGCCACAGCACCACTTCCGGTTTTCTGATGGTTTATTGGAGATAAGAGTCTCGTGGACTTTCCTGCCCAGGCTGGCTTTGAACCAAGATCCTCAGATCTCTGCCTCCCGAGTAGCTAGGATTACGGGTGTGAGCCACTGGTGCCCAGCTTAGGTCTCCTTATTTCTAAAGCCCAAACGTTCATTTCTCCTGGACTGGCTTCTACAATAACTTTCAAATTAGGGTTATAGCAAGTGTGAAACTCTGGCAGAAGAATGGCAAACAGGGCAAGAAGAACTTCATTTGTCTAGAAATCAGGGAGATTTCAGGGAGAAGGATGGAAGAGGTACATGAAATCTCAAATTCTCAAATGGTAGAAGGGATATATATATAAGATATATATAAGATATACATAAGATATATATCTTATATATCTTATGTATATCTTATATATATCTTATATATATCTTATATATATCTTATATATATATTTTTTTTGGGTCGGTCGTGGGGCTTGAACTCTGGACCTGGGCACTGTCCCTCAGCTCTTCAGCTCAAGGCAAGCTCTCTACCACTTGAGCCACAGCACCCTTTCTGGCTTTTTCTGCTTATGTGGTGCTGAGGAATCGAACCCAGGGCCTCATGCATGCAAGGTATGCACTCTACCACTGAGCCACCTTCCCTAGCCCCTGTTAATTTTTTTTGACTGTTGTCTTTTTTTTTTTTTTTTGTTGGTCGTGGGGCTTAAACTCTGGGCCTGGGCGCCGTCCCTCAGCTCTTCAGCTCAAGGCAAGCGCTCTACCACTTGAGCTACAGCGCCACTTCCGGTTTTCTGGTGGTTTATTGGAGATAGGAGTCTCATGGTCTCTCCTACCTGGGCTGGCTTTGAACCGCGATCCTCAGATCTCAGCCTCCTGAGTAGCTAGGATTACAGGCGTGAGCCACCAGCGCCCGGCTTGACTGTTGTCTTAAACTCAGGACCTAGGTGCTGACCCTGAGCTCTTTTTTTTTTTTTTTTTGACGTCCTAAGGCTTGAACTCAGGTCCTGCGCAATGACCTGTGCCCAAGGCAAGTGCTCTACCACTTGAGCCACAGCACTACTTCTGGCTTTTTCTGTTTATGTGGCACTGAGGAATGGAACCTAGGGCTTCATGTATGCCAGGCAAGCACTCTACCACTTGAGCCAAAGCAACACTTCTGGCTTTTTCTGTTTATGTGGTACTGAGGAATCAAACCCTGGGCTTCATGTATGCGAGGGAAGCACTCTACCACTAAGTCATATTCCCAGCCTCCCTGAGCTTTTGAGAGCTTGTTTGGAGGTTCTAGCAGGGGAGCGCAGCTACTCGTATACCCTTGACCGAAGACCGGTCGGTCCTCCTCTATCCGGGATAGTCGTCCTCTTCGACCGAGCGCGCAGCTTCGGGAGGGACGCACATGGAGCGGTGAGGGAGGAAGGGACACCCGCCTAGCCAGCCAGATCAGCCGAATCAACCCTGGCGATCAATGGGGTGACAGATGTCGCAGCCAGATTGCCCTCACATCCTCTCCTTGAGCTTTTTTACTCAAAGGCTAGTGCTTGACCACTTTGAGCCACAGCTCCACTTTGGTTTTTTTTTTTTTTTTACTTTTTTTTTTGGGTCCGGTTGTGGGGCCTGAACTCTGGGCCTGGGCGCTGTCCCTCAGCTCCTCAGCTCAAGGCTAGCGCTCTACCACTTGAGCCACAGCACCCTTTCTGGCTTTTTTTGCTTATGTGGTGCTGAGGAATCGAACCCAGGGCCTCAGGCATGCAAGGCAAGCACTCTACCACTGAGCCACCTTCCTAGCTCCTCCACTTCTGGTTTTTGAGTGGTTAATTAAAGATGACTCTCACAGGGACTTTTATGTCCATGCTGGCTTTGAACCTCCATCCTCAAATCTAAGCCTCCCGAATTGCTAAGATTATTGGCATGAGCCACTAGTGCCTGGCTAGAAGGGATCTTAAGAGGCTGATAGGATGAAACTCAGTTCTAAAGATACAAATACATTTGTTCTGCATTTGATTTGATAGATAATTACTATTACTTACTGAGCCCCTTGCTTTGTGTTTAGTTCATATAACTTCAGCAAGTCCCTTTGGAGGCTACTGTTATTTTCTTCACCTTATGAAAAAGAAAATTGAGGGGCTGGGAAGGTGGCTCAGTGGTAGAGGCTTGCCTTACATGCATGAGGCCCTGGGTTCAATTCCTCAGCACCACATAAGCAGAAAAAGCCAGAAATGGCTCTGTGGCTCAGGTAGTAGAGCACTAGCCTTGAGCTGAAGAGCTGAGAAACAGTGCCCAGGCCCAGAGTTCAGGCCCTACGACTGACTTAAAAAAGAAAGAAAGAAAGAGGAAATTGAGGCCTAGAAAAAGTAAATGACTAGCCTAAGGTCATGATGAATAAATGGTACGGCTAGGCTTTGGATCTAAGTCCTAATACAAAAAGTGGCTTTTATTTATTGTTATTTTGTGGCACTGGGAGTTGGACCAGGGCCTTATGCATGCTAGGCAAGGGCTCTACCACTGAGCTACATCTCTAGCCAAAATGTGACTTTTAAATATTCTGTACTCATTCTTCAAGTTTGTATGTGTCTAAAGTGGGATCACTGTATAGAGACTGAACAGAGAAGGAAGTCCTTTGAGTGTAGCAAATAAGGCTGTGGATATGGCTATCTGGCTAGACATTGTAATGCTTGCTAGCTTACAGAATACCCAGATTCTCATTGGAATCTAGCAAGGTAGCTGGCACAACTTCCCCAGCAACACAGGTTTTATACTATGGCTACTTAACCCCTTCCATGCTCCCCCATCCTACAGAGAAAGTTCCATTCCTGTGGATGTGGCTCGTCAGCGGGAGCTCAAGTGGCTGGAGATGTTCAACAACTGGGATAAGTGGCTGTCACGGCGTTTCCAGAAGGTTTGAGAGGGTTATATGATGGGTTGGGCAATGTACCAGGGTGGGGGAGGGACATTGCTCTAGGGAAGCCCAAGAAACTTGACAGTATCTGCCTTCAGGACCATATTGGGTGTAGGTGGTACTTGGTCCCCGAGAGGAGGAGAAGCTTTAAGTAGAAGGCCAAGGACAGGTCCAGTGGAGACAAGTCTGTCATGTAGGAAGAGTTTGAAGAAGTCTGAGGACTGCTGGGAAAGCTTGGAAGCCCTGTCAGACCTTGAAACTGTCCCCCTGGCTGCCACTCTGCTTTAGGTGAAGCTACGCTGCCGGAAGGGGATCCCCTCCTCCCTAAGAGCCAAGGCCTGGCAGTACTTATCTAATAGCAAAGAACTTCTGGATCAGAACCCCGGCAAGTTTGAGGTGCGTGCAGCTCCAGGGTATGGAGACTTAGCCCTGTCTGTGCAAAGAGCGTGTCAGCTTCCTCAGATCTTGAAATAATCCTTTCTGTCCCACTGCAGGAGTTGGAACGGGCTCCTGGGGACCCCAAGTGGCTGGATGTGATTGAGAAAGACCTGCACCGCCAGTTCCCTTTCCATGAGATGTTTGCTGCTCGAGGGGGGCATGGGTAAGGTGGACTGACTGTGGGATAGTCAGTAACCATTTGTTGAGGATTTTAGGTGATTAAAAAAAAAATGAGGCTAAAAACCAGTTCTTGCAAGCTGGGTGCTGGTGGCTCATGCCTATAATCCTAGTAATTCAGATTTTGTCGGTCGTGGGGCTTGAACTCTGGGCTTGGACGCTGTCCCTCAGCTTTTCAGCTCAAGGTGAGCGCTCTACCACTTGAGCTACAGTGCCACTTCCAGTTTTCTGGTGGTTTATTGGAGATGAGAGTTTCAAGGACTTTCCTGCTCGGGCTGGCTTTGAATCTTGATCCTCAGATCTCAGCCTCCTGAGTAGCTAGGATTACAGGGCACCAGCGCCTGGCTAGAGACTTTTTTTTTGGTCGTGGGGCTTGAACTCTGGGCCTGGGCACTGTCGCTCAGCTCTTCAGCTCAAGGCAAGCGCTCTACCACTTGAGCTATAGCGCCACTTCCGGTTTTCTGGTGGTTTATTGGAGATAGGAGTCTCACGTTCTTTCCTGCCCGGGCTGGTTTTGAACTGCGATCCTCAGATCTCAGCCTCCTGAGTAGCTAGGATTACAGGCGTGAGCCACCAGCGCCCGGCTGGCTAGAGACTCTTATCTCCAATTAAACACCAAAAAGCCAGAAGTCGAGCTGTCGCTCAAGTTGTAGAGACTAGTCTTGAGCACAAAAGTTCAGACAGTACCTAAGCACTGAGTTCAAGCCCCAGGACTGGCACAAAAACAAAAAACAGTTCTTGCCCTGTAGGACTTGGTAAGTGATCCTTAAAGGACTAAATGTCATCTTGTGTTAAAGCAGGGATCTCAGACTAAACTTGGGTTCTATGTGTGTCTCTGTCTGAGGGGGGTTTCATTGAAAAGGTTTCACTTCATATTTTCCTTTAAGTTTCCTTCAAGTTTCAAGGTTTCCTTCAAGGATAGATGGGCAATGGGGTGGGGCAGAGTTTTTCTGCCTGGGGAGTTTTATAAACACCGTCTATCTAGGTAGTGAGCTCTACTGAGGTAGAGCTGAGACTAAAAAAGTTTGGGGCCATATCACCAATAGGTGAGCTCTTAAATACTGTGCCAAGACACTTGAGTTTTTGTTGTATAGGCTATTTCCTAAAGCTGTGAGGATACATGCGTATATTATCCCTTTAAAGTATTCAAGATGATGGTAGATGGTTAGATAGACTTTTTTGTTTTGCAGTGCTGGAGATCAAACTTGGGGCTTTGCACATAATGGGCATGTGCTATCTATGAGCTACATCTCCAGCTCTGCATGGACCGGTTTTTTAATCAATAAGTTCATCTTTTAACCAATACTTACTGAGTACTTGTTATCTGTCAGGTACTGTTTTAGTCATATATGAAAGCAGTGAACCAAATAAAATCTCCTGTCCTTGTAAGTTATATTGTTTTTAAGGGAATAAGCAGTGTATCAGATTAAAAAAAGTATGTTTGTGGTTTACAGAAGAGTTGAAAGCAAGAAAGGAGAATAGATCAGATGCCAGTGGCTCATGCTTATGATCCTAGCTATTCACAGGCTGGTAAGGGAAGTCTGTGAGACTCTTTTTTTTTTTTTTTGTCCTGGTGTTAGTCCTGGTCCTGGGGCTTACACTCAAGGCCTTCTTAGCTTTGTCCCTGAGTTTTGTGGGGTTTTTATTGCTTATTTTTTTTTTTTACTAGACTAGCATTCTATCACTTGAGACACACTTCCAGCTTTTTTAGTGGTTAATTGAGGTAAGAGTCTCACAGACTTTCCTGCCTGGGCTGGCTTTGAACCACAATCCTCAGATCTCAGCCTCCTGAGTAGCCAGGGATTACAGGTATGAACTGGTTAATTGGAGAGCCATCTCCAATTAACCAGTAAAATCCTGCAAAGTAGAGGTGTGGCTCAAGTGAAAGAGCACCAGAGCCTTGACCAGAAAAAGCTAAGGCTGTGCCCAGGACTTGAGTTCAAGCCCCAGTACCACCTCAAAAAAAAAAAAAATAGAGACTGTGAGTGGGGATGGGATTACAAAATGACCAGATCTGGCTTACCTTTAAAGAAGATGGCTATAGCTGCTACCTTGAGAACAGACTGTAGGGAAACAAAGGTAGCACCAGGCCAGTTAGGAGACTGTTTCTGTAATTCAGAATAGGTGATGACAGATGATGACAGGAAGGTTGCTGTGGAAGAATGAGGAAATGTAGCTGGGTTCTGAAGGTAGCGTAATAGACATTGCTACGAGATTATATGTAAAGTATGTAAGAGAAAAAGAAAAAGACGTTGTGGTGACTCATAAAGTTTTTGATCTCAGAAACTAGAAGAAAGGAGCTATTATTTACTGATATGGATAAGGAAAACTGAGGAGAAGGTAGGCTTTGGGGCCATATCAGGAGTTCACTTTTGGAATGTTCAGTTTAAAATTATGGATGTGCCACATGCCGGTGGCTCACACCTGTAATCCCAGCTACTTAGAAGGCTGAGGTCTCAGGATCAAGGTTTGAAGCCAGCCTGAGCAGACATATACCCTAGGCTTTTATTTCCAATTACCCAGCAAAAAGCCAGAAGTAGAGGTATGGCTCAAGTGGCAGAGCAAAAAGGGTAAGGGAGAGTGGGAGGTCCTGAGTTCAGGTTCAGTACCAGGATTAAAAAACTAAAACACGTGGTTTTTTTGTCGGTGTGCTGTTATTGTTTTTTTTTTTGTTGTCTTTTTTTTGTGGGGGCAAAAGAGAGGCATAGGAATGGAGGGGGAAGGATGAACAAATGAAGTTGTGTACTATATTCAACATACACTCTGTGAAAAATAAACTATGCAACTTATGGGCAGCGATAGGAGGGTAATGAAAATTGGAAAAAGTGGTGGCATTGTCCAAGAAGAATTGTACTCATTACCTGACTTAATGGAATTGTAGTGTCTTTGTACAACTCTTTAAAACTGTAAAACCAAGCCAAAACAAACAATAGAAACAAAAGAAAGATGTCCCAGGATTGACTCTTGAAGCTCAAATGATTTGGAAATAAGGAGATAACCAATAGAGAGTGGACTGAGATATTAGAGTTGTAGGAAGGAAACCAGGAGAGTAGTTTCTGGAAGCAAAGTGAAGGTTTCAAAGATCAGCTGCGAGAAATGTTGCTGAGAGGGCAAGTCAATCAAGCCTGGGTACTGCCTTCTGGATTTAACACTGTGGAGGTGGATAATGACTTGATAAAAGCAGTGTTGTGTGGCTTCTCTAGAGAATTGTGGGAAGGACATGAAAGAGAGCAAGTCTATATTGTGGGAGAGTTTTGCTGACTAGGTAAGGAAGGAATTGCTCTTTGCAGGGGAATAGGAGGACTACAGGAATTCTGTTTCAGTACTGGAGCTTGAACTCTGAGCTTTGCATTGTGGCTTGGCTTTTTTGTTCATGACTGGCACTTGTCCACCTAAGCCATACCACCTGATTTTGTTTTGTTTTGTTTTTGTTTTGCTGGCTAATTGGAGATAAGAATCTCTCAGACTTTTCTGCTGGGATTTGCTTCAGGCCACAATCCTTCAAATCTCAGCCTTCTGAATAGCTAGGATTATAGGTGTGAGCCACTGGTGCCTGGCTCTGGGAACATTTTTTTAGTCAAGAAGGAATTACAGCACTGGTATGAGAGGAGTGATCCAGTCAAGAGAGAAAAAAATGGCTATGTAGGAGAAATGGTGGTTGCTGGCTTGATAGTCTGTGTGGGTGAGTGAAGATGGGATCCAGAACCCAACTGGAAAGGCTGTGCTTGGCAGGGATCACAGACAGTTCACCCATAGCAACAAGGGGAAGGCAGGGACACAGATGAAGGCAGTGGGTGGATGTATTGTGGGAGCTTGTGGAAGTTACGTATTTAATATGTATTAGGTAAAATAACCAGTATATCAAACCTGTCATTTCATGGGTAATTTGCAAAGTGGAGAGAAAATATTAAGTAAATAATAGTGGGTTGTTATGCAGATAAGACATAAATGATCACACTTGAATGACTGGATTTTGGGCAAAGCTATTATAAGCAGTGTTAGGAGTATGTGTGAGACTGGAGTCAGGGAGAAGAGCGGGGAGATCATTACCTTTCTTTGGCAAGAGATGGAGAGCTGATCTGGAAATGGCTTTGGAGGAGGAGAGAGAACAGACATGAATAGAGCTCAGGATGTAGCATTGCTTAGACTTGGTGATTAACCAAGGGAAATGAGGAGCATTCTTTTTTCTGATGTAGAGCTGAGGAGATCTAAGTCCCAGGTATGATGGACACCAGCAAGTCTCGGAGAGGAACAGTTGTAGAGCTGACTTCATTCTTTTAGTTGCAGAGACAAAGGCATAGGTTTGGGGCTGTTAAGTCTTCTCAAGAGCCAGGGCCCATTGAACTTGCTGAGAGAGCTGATGAAATCCAGTGAAATAGATAAAGCAGCCCTTGCCTGGGAAAGCTCATGCCCTGGAGTGATTAAAAAAAAACATCCAGACAGTGCTAGAGGAGGGCTAGCACTGTGGATGGTACAAGTGACCTTGGACATTTATGGGATGGTGGCAGAAGGCTGGAGAGAGTGCAGGCTTTGCTGAGCAATGAGTAGGAAGTATGTGAGGCGTGTGGCCAAGGGTGGAAGGCTGGGACTTGGATGCTTTGTGGGTTGAACCTCTGGTGGGCATGGCTAGGAAGGTGAATGGATGAGTGTGGTGGTAAAGCTCTAAGGCCAATCTGTAATTGGCTAGATATAGAAAAGGTCTGGGCTGAGGTTGGTTTGGTTGGGGACAGAGAGCTCCCATTGCTGTGATTGCCATGTTCTTCAATCCCCAAAGGCAACAGGACTTGTACCGAATCCTCAAGGCCTACACCATCTACAGACCTGACGAGGGCTACTGCCAAGCCCAGGCCCCAGTGGCTGCAGTCCTGCTCATGCACATGCCAGCTGAGGTCAGCATCTGTGGTCCTGGCCTGGGGGGGGCGGAGGGGCTCTTGGCCTGTACTAGGTGATAGGGGAGCTTCCTACTCCCTGCTTCTCAGGTTCCATCCCTCCCTCTTCATTGTTGTCCTTCTTAGCAAGCCTTTTGGTGCCTGGTGCAGATCTGCGACAAGTACCTCCCAGGTTACTACAGTGCAGGGCTGGTGAGTGTTTGGGTACCTGGGGTTGTGACTTGCCAAGGCTGCAGGGGAGGTCCTTCCCCTGCCCATCCTGGCCTTTCTATCCCTGTGTTCTCTGGACCTTTCCACTGAGGTGAGGATCAAGGTTGATTCTATCCTGAGGGCCACAGCGGACCAGGCCTTCTTCTCATGGCTCTTTCCTCCTTCAGGAGGCTATTCAGCTGGATGGAGAAATCTTCTTTGCACTCCTGCGCCGGGCTTCCCCATTAGCACATCGGCACCTGCGGCGGCAGCGCATTGACCCTGTGCTCTACATGACAGAATGGTTCATGTGCATCTTTGCCCGCACCTTGCCCTGGGCTTCAGTGCTGCGTGTCTGGGACATGTTTTTCTGTGAAGGTATTTAAGTGCCATCTAGGCTGTGAAGGGGCTTAGGTTCTGTGGTGACTGTCAGAGAGTTCTGCTATATTTCTGGTGGACCATGGACAAAAGGTACTTGTTGGGCCAAGGCTTCCCTATAAGTAATCTATGGAGTAGAAAAACGGGCCTGGGTCTTGTTTCAGCCAGCCCACTTTCCTCCTAGGAATCTGAACCTATAGCAATACAACCCCTTCTTGGGGTCTCAGTTTCTTCATCTGTAAAGTTGGAAGTAGATAGGGATAAGAGCTGTGAGCCCTCTTAATAATTTAAGAGATTTAAGAGCCTAATGGCTGAGATCCTGGGCTTGGAACTCTCCCCCCCCCCCTTCTCTTTTTTTGTGTGTGCCTGTCATGGGGCCTGAGCTCTAGAGGCCTGGGTACTGTCCCTGAGCTCTTCAGCTCAAAGCTAGTGCCCTACCACTTGAACCACAGTGCCACTTCCGGCTTTTACTGCTTATGTAGTGCTGAGGAATCGAACCCAGGGCCTCATGCATGCAAGGCAAGCGCTCTACCACTGAACCACCTTCCCAGCCCCCCTCCCCCCATTCTTTTTTCTTCCACCCTATAGGAGTCAAGATCATCTTTCGGGTGGCCCTAGTTTTGCTTCGACACACGCTGGGGTCGGTGGAGAAGCTGCGTTCCTGCCAAGGCATGTATGAAACCATGGAGCAGCTGCGCAACCTGCCTCAACAGTGCATGCAAGAGGACTTCCTGGTACATGAGGTAGGCTCTCAGCATGCCCCACTGCTTTAGCCCATTCCCAGGTCCTCTGTATTCTGATTGTTTGTTTTTTGTTGTTTTGGTCCAGTCGTGGGGCCTGAACTCTGGGCCTGGGCGCTGTCCCTCAGCTCTTCAGCTCAAGGCTAGTGCTCTACCACTTGAGTCACAGCACCACTTCTGGCTTTTTTCTTGCTTATGTGGTGCGGAGGAATCAAACCCAGGGCCTCAGGCTTGCAAGGCAAGCACTCTACCACTGAGCCACCTTCCCAGCCCCTATTCTGATTTTTTGAACTGGGGGAAAAAAAGATGGGCACTGGTGGTTCACACTTCTAATCCTAGCTACTCAAGAGGCTGAGCTTTGAAGACTGAGGATGAAAGCCAGCCTGGGCAGAAAAGTCCACAAGACTCTCCAATTAACCACCTAAAACCCAGAAATGGAGATGTGGTTCAAAGTGGTAGAGCAACAACCTTGAGCAAAAAAGCTCAGGGACAGCACCTAAACACTGAATTCAAGCCCCATGATCACCATCAAAAACAAAAACACAAAGTGAAAAAAAAAGGGGTGGTGGTGATACTAGGCTTTGTCAGGGCCTTGCACTCGTTAGGCAGTTGCTGGAGCACTTGAGTCTCATCTTCCTTCTGGTACTTATTTTCTTTTTTTGGGGGGGTCCGGTCGTGGGGCCTGAACTCTGGGCCTGGGCGCTGTCCCTCAGCTCTTCAGCTCAAGGCTAGTGCTCTACCACTTGAGCCACAGCGCCACTTCCGGCTTTTTTCTTTTTGCTTATGAGGTGCTGAGGAATCGAACCCAGGGCCTCAGGCATGCAAGGCAAGCGCTCTACCACTGAGCCACCTTCCCAGCCCCTGGTACTTATTTTCTATATCTAGGTTACAAACCTCCCAGTGACAGAAGCACTGATTGAGCGAGAGAATACAACTCAGCTGAAGAAGTGGCGGGAAACCCGGGGAGAGTTGCAGTATCGGCCTTCCCGGCGACTACATGGCTCGCGGGCCATCCACGAGGAGCGCAGGCGTCAGCAGCCACCCCTGGGTCCCTCCTCCAGCCTCCTTAGCCTCCCCGGCCTCAAGAGCAGAGGCTCTCGGGCAGCTGGAGGGGCCCCCTCCCCTCCCTCTCTCCCCCGCAGAGCCAGTGCTGGGCCTGTCCCCGGGCCCGTGGTGACTGCAGAGGGACTGCACCCTTCCCTTCCCTCACCCACCGGCAACAGCACACCCCTGGGTTCCAGCAAGGAGACCCGGCGGCAAGAGAAGGAGCGGCAGAAACAGGAGAAGGAGCGGGAGAAGCAAGAGAAGGAGAGGCAGAAGTGGGAAAAAGAACAAGAGAAAGAACAGCAGAAGCAGGAGAAGGAACGGCAGAAACAGGAAAAGGAGAGGGAGAAGGAGCGGCAGAAACAGGAGAAGGAGCGGGAGAAGGAGAGGCAGAAACAAGAGAAGAAGGGCCAAGGCCGGAAGCTTTCCCTGCGTCGGAAGGCAGATGGTCCCCCAGCGCCTCATGATGATGGGGACAGGTCCTCTGCAGCTGAGGCCAGGCAGGACGCTTATTTCTGACCTCTGCCTGGGCCTGGACAGCATGGCCCCCTCCATTTCCCTCAGCCAAGAACAGGCCAGGCCAGGCCTGGGATCCTCCCTCAGCCCCTTCAACAGGCTGTCCCTCGTTCTGAGGAAAGTGGCTTGATTCTCCCATTTTTTGCCAGCTGCTGGTCCCTACACAGCTAGGACAGCCACAATGCATGGGGCAGCTACATTTCCTGGGGGTAGCCATGACCAAGGCTGGGGCCACTTGCCTCTGATTAGGCCCAGCTGGGATGTCTGTCTCTCCTGCCAATTCCCTCTGGGATCCTTTCCCAGGTGCTGTCCTAACTGGCCTCTTGTCACCAAGAGGCAGTGGCAGCAGTTTGCAGATTCTTACACACCAGTGGCTCACATTACCCACAAGGTAGAGCCAGGTTCCTTTTCCCTTCTTCAACCCTGCGCGTTTCTCCCACTGCCTTTCTGGGGGCCAACGCTCTCCTCACCTCCCTCTACTTTTGGACATCTCTGTTGTAATTATGTACAGAGGATCAAGGTTGGCCCAGGGTGGGGTGCTCACTCTGTCCTTCGTTCTCCTCCCAGTGTTCCTAAACTTTGGTATATTTAAGGGGACATGCACTCAAATAGGAACTGTCCCCCTCTTCCCCTCCCGTACTTCTCTGGCACTCCCTCTTCATCTACCTGCTCTGTATTCTCAGGCCTCTGCTTTATCTCACCAGGACTCCTACTTTTCATCTTGTTCCCTTCCAACCCTCAAGCTCCTTTCTGAGTAAGGGTCCTCCCTTGAGTCCAGGGGATGGAACCCAGTGTTTACATTCTCTTCTGTCTCAGCCCCATCCCATGCGGCGCTTTGAGGAACCGGAAAAAGAACCTGCTGTTGTACCTGGGTTTGTCTCCTTGCCTTGTTATTTGATAGAGGAGGCTTATGGGGAAGGCCTAGGAAGGGAGGGGGAAAAGCCAGGGCCTTGGTCTCTGAAAGCAGTTTGTGATCTCAACAGGTAGGTAGGTAGGTGGTAGCTCTTGGCCCTTGGTCCAACTCTCAGTCTGTCATCAACAAACACTGGTCGAACTTCTGCTCCAGCTTTGTCTGAGAGCTGCTGCCTGCATTGTCACTGGCTTCCTGGAGCCCTCTAGGTACTGCCCGCAGCACCCGGATCTCCTTACCAATGCGCTCATGCAACTCCTGGAAGTGGGAGGGAGCAGCGAGAGCAGCTAGAAAGCCACTGTCTTCTGGGGGTGAGCTGGGCTCTTGGCCAGCTGCCTGGCACAACTCCTGATACTGGGCTTCCAGGGCTGGTAGCAGTGCAGCCAGCCGCCTCCAGCTCACCCTAGCCAGTGCACACAGCCAAGCTTCTAGTTCTTCCTGGTTTTCTGCAGCTAGTTTGTAGGTCCTTCCCCTTGTGCCTTCCACCCCAGGAGTCTGGATGGTAAAGGCATAGGGTTCTGCAGCCTTAAGGTGGGGCTCCACTTGGCAGTTCTCCAACAGGATGAGGCCCAGGGGTGTGTGGTCTGCCTTGTGTTCGAGGTAGAAGAGGAGGTTTCCCCGGAGGACAAACCAACGCCGCTGATAGGTGGTGTTTCTAGTCCCCTTCTTTAGCAAGATGCCCTCCTGGTCCGGAGCCTGTGTTCTATGCCCATGGAAGAGACTGAGCACAGACTTGCGGTGCAATTTCATGATGATCCAGTGTGGGAGGAAGCCCTGGAAAAGAGTGGTCTGTTGCTTTGGAGAATCCTCCATGCTGCCCTCTCCCAGCTCACCCATGCAATCCTGGCCTCCAGGGTTTAAGATCGGATGGTCCCCAAGTCTCCCCCTCACTTCCTAATCCTGCCAATACGTGGGCCACATTTCATCACCACCTAGGTGATGCTGGGTCCTCTTGGCTAAGCAGTGGGCTTCATCCTGCAGCTGGGGTTCAAGAGAGGTATTGTTGCCCTTTTTCCAAGCCTACCTGAGAGCAGGGTTCGAGGGGCTTCTGGCCTAGGCCCGAGGCACCGGTGTCAATGCCACCTCACCTGTGATGGCTTTCCTACCCCTGAAACCAGGAACTGGCCCGTGGAATGGACGCGGGGCAAATGATTTCCTCTGGGTCCTAAAGGAAGCTAGGTTCATAAAGTGCACTATGTGCCATGGGACGTTTTCTTAGGGAAAGAACAAGCAAGGTCTCATCTCAGGCAGGGCTGACAACTTGGACAGCAAGCGGGTTTGTCGTGTGTGTGTGTGTGTGTGTGTGTGTGTGTGTGTGTGTGTGTGTGTGTAAAGGGTCTGGCTCTGTAACCTGGGCTGGCTTCGAACTTGCCATCCTTCCTCAACCTCACGGGTAGCAGGGTTGCCCACGGGCAGCAGCACTACGCCTGGCTCTCAAGGCGAGATTTCTAGTGAAATAGGATTGGGCGCCTAGCCTTTTGCCGGCTCTGGAAGAAGCGCGACTCGAACCCTTCCTGGAAAAGAAAACGGGCAGGATGCCACGGGCCCTGCCCAGACTGCTCTCCATCCTAACCCTGGACACCCCCTAAATGGATGCTCTCCACGTTCCCACCAGAGCCTCGGCGGCTGTCAGGGAATCGAAGTGACTTCCGGCCACCTGCGTGCGGGTCTAGGTGTAGATCGGCCCGCCCCTCCCACCCTCGGGAGGCTTCCGTCACTTCTGGCTGGGGAGAGGCGGGAGGGCGGGCAGCTGCCCCGCCTCAGCCCCGCCTCTCTGCGCACTTCCGCCCGCTCTCGCAGTTAGCCCTCTGGCTCGAATGAAGCCATTTCCGGTCTCCTTTGGCGCCTTCCTCCATCCTCTTCCGGGTTATGGCGGCCTGGTGCCCCGGATGTAGCCTTGGAGAAAGCATCTTTCCTTTCTTCCTCCACCTCCCCGTGGGATCCCAGGTGAGCGCGGGCAGTTGGGACTACCTGAGTGCCCGTGGCTCTGCTGCCGGCGTGATGTGTAACAGTCCGGGACGGCTGGGGGAGTCTCCACGTGGCCGGGAGTCGGCGTGGGGAGACGCGGAGCGGCCGGGGCGCCGGGTCCCGGGTCCACCCGGGCCTGGAGGGTCCGGGAGCGGGGGAGGGGGCGTGCCAGCCTGTCAGGACTCGGGAAGCCCGACTCCCTTCTTCAGGGAGGATCGCAGGCCCAGCGATTCTCTCATTGCTCCCTTCCCGAGCTAGGCCTGTCTCTTCACCAGGAGCAATGCTTGTCCCGGGGGCCCTCTCGCGGTCAGTCCCTTCCTTATCTAGTTTCCTTACTCGGCATCCTTTTCCTGGACTCAGCTTGAAGAAATCCCCCTCTGCCAGTCATGCCAAAGAGGAAAGTGACTTTCCAAGGTGTGGGAGATGAGGACGATGAGAATGAAAACAGTGCTTCCAAGAAGAAGGTGAAGTGATCTACGTTGCATTCGGGGAGAGTAAAACGTACGGGGGTGGGGCCCCAAGCCTGAATGAAGAGGAGGAAAGGGGTTGTGTATCACAGAGTTTCCCTGCATTCTCGGAGTACTGGGTCTGAATGGCTTTCAGTTTGGGTCCAGATGTTGGGCTGTTTGGGAAGTCATCAGTAATCTGCCTGTCTCACTGCTGGTTCTTGCTCACAGCTGGTGGACCCTGTGGTTGGGGCAGGGGGCCCTGGGAGCCGCTTCAAAGGCAAACACTCTTTGGACAGCGATGAGGAGGATGATGATGATGAGGGGTCCAGAAAATATGACATCCTGGCCTCAGAAGATGTAGAAGGTAAATTATATACAAGAAGTAGCTCAGTGGCAAAGCACTTGACTCACAAGTGAAATGTCCTGGGTTCGATCCCCAGTACCAAAATAAATTAAAAAAGTAAACATGGACTCTGCTAGAAGGAAAAGTCAGGGGCCTTAGGAATGTGGAGCAAGGGAGGCTCCTGTCTCTGTTTTACATACCTAGCATAGGGTAACCTTTTCTTTTTCTTCTTTTCTATACAGGTCAGGAAGCAGCCACGCTCCCCAGTGAAGGAGGTGTACGGATTACACCTTTCAACTTGCAAGAAGAAATGGAAGAAGGCCACTTTGATGCTGATGGCAACTACTTCCTGAACCGGGATGCTCAGATCCGAGACAGCTGGCTGGACAACATTGACTGGGTGTGGCTCAGGGGCTGGCATAACTGAGGCCTGGGGATGGCAAGTACTGGGCCTGGGCCCCAGTGGAGGTTTATAGGAATTTGTGGGGGGTTAGTCATGTCCCTGAGGTTTTTCACTCAAGGCTAGTGCTGTACCACTTTAAGCCACAGTGCCACTTCTGGTTTTCTGGTGGCTAATTGGTGATAAGAGTCTCACAGACTTTTCTTCCCTAAACCATGATCCTCTGATCTCAGCCTCCCGAGTAAGCTAGGATTATAGCCATAAGCTACCAGAGCTCGGCTTGAATTTTTTTTTTTTTTCTTTTGTGCCAGTCCTGGGACTTGACCAGTCCTGGGTGCTGACCCTGAGCTTTTTTGCTCAGGGCTAGTGCTCTACCCCTTGAGCCACAGCTCCACTTCTGACTTTCTGTGGTTAATTGAAGGTGAGAGTCCCACAGACTTTCTTTCTTGGGCTGACTTCAAGCTGAAATCTTAGATCTTTTAGGATTACAGGTATGAACCACCTGCACCCAGCAGGAAATAATTCTTTATCTTTCCTTTATAGGTGAAGATCAAGGAGCGGCCACCTGATCAGCGACAAGCCTCAGACTCAGAGGATGAGGACAGTGTGGGCCAGACACCAATGAGTGCCCAAGCCCTCCTAGAGGGACTTTTAGAGCTGCTGTTGCCAAGGGAGACAGTAGCGGGGGCACTGAGGCGTCTGGGGGCCAGAGGAGGAAGCAAAGGAGGCAGCAAGGGGACAGGGAGGCCTAGCTCCCCCCAGCGCCTTGACCGGCTCTCAGGGTTGGCTGACCAGATGGTGGCCCGAGGCAACCTGGGTGTATACCAGGAAACTAGGGAACGGTTGGCTATGCGGCTAAAGGGGTTAGGGTGCCGGACCCAGGGAGCCCCTGACCCCACCCCTCCACCCTCCCTGGACATGTTCGCTGAGGAAGTGGCTGAGGGGGAGCTGGAGACCCCAACCCCTACCCAGAAAGAAGGTGAGCTTGGAGGGCCAAAGAGGGGTACTGTGGGGAGAAGGCAGGGCACTGGAGGCCCAAATGGCTTTGCCTCTTGTTTTAGAAACAGAGTCGTCAGGAGATGGTCTGGTGGATGTAATGTGGGAATATAAATGGGAGAACACAGGGGATGCTGAGCTCTATGGGCCCTTTACAAGTGCCCAGATGCAGGTAAGCCCCTGTCTATAGCCTTTGGCCTTGTCCCTCCCTCCCCTGACTCCTGTCGTTCTTCTCAATTCTGCTCTCTCTTCCTGCAGACCTGGGTGAGCGAAGGCTACTTCCCTGACGGTGTTTATTGCCGGAAGCTGGACCCCCCTGGTGGTCAGTTCTACAACTCCAAACGCATTGACTTTGATCTCTACACTTGAGCCTATTGAGAGCCCAGTTGAGTGGCCCCTTCTTTTCCGCACATGGTGGAGGAGGCCCCGGCGGCCTCAGCAGTGAGGATATTGGAGGCCACTTTTCAATCAGTTTTCCTTTCCCTTAAATCCTTGGCTGCACTGATGGCCAAAAGCCAGGGGCGTATGCCATAGCTCCTCTGGCCTTGCCTAAGTCCTTGAGTGTTTCCTCCATGAAGTTCCTCCTTGGCAGTTTCTCTCTGATTTCTTGGACCACCTCACCTTTGTGGACCCCCATTAGTAGCAGAGTTCAAGCCCGTCAGGTGTCTTGAGGTCCCCTTTCCCAAACTCTGCTCATTGTGTAGAAATCCTTTCACTCGCACCCTTCTCCAGTCTTCTCTGAGGTTCTTGTTCTGTTCCTCTTGAGTCTTTGACTTTTGGGACTTCAGGTTCTCTGTCTGTTTGACCCCCAGGGATAGAGGTCCCAAGTGGAGATTTAAGGCCTGGAAGGGCTAGACTATCTGGAAGACTTTAGGACTCTGTTGAGGGCAAGCAGGAGCATGGTACACACTGACTCCCACCTTCTCAAGCTCCGTAGACGTCAGCCAAAAGTGCTGCCAGCCCAAGACTGAGCTGATTCTTCCCTAATCTGGCTTCTCTTTCTCCCGTGGCAGTTTCCACGCCTCTTAAGTGAAGTGCAAACCCAGTGATGGTACATGAAAGGCCCTTCAAGGCCATCTGGACTAGCCATGCATTGCATAGGCACAGAGAGGGGGCAGGAACTAGCTAGAGGTCACACCGTGATTCCATTGGCTCAGACCCAGTGGGCATGTTCTCCAGACTTTGCTTGGCCACAAAGTCTTTTCTGCTTGGCCTTATAACCTCCATTCCCAAGCCCTGCTTGTGACTACTACTGGGCTAGTGTCTGGAGGAAACAGGTAATTGGGCTGGTCTGCTGCCAGGAACTCTTGAGTCTGGTCGAGGAGGCAGGGAAGACAGGTGTAATTTTATTGCCTGGACTAACACGTTCTTCCCCAACCAGTATTGCCTTATACCCCACCTAATTTGTACCAAGTTAGATTGATTATTCTGCTGTGTCCCTGTGGCTGAACCAAGTGGCTGTACGGGACTGAGGGAGCTGGCTGGTGCCCAGGTGATAATGGCTCTTAGAAGCTCTCCAAGTGTTGCTAGTATGTCATCAGCTGAAAACCCCTGAGCAGCCTCACTCCTGTGACTCGGGCACTCCTGAAGAGAGAAGACACCTTCTTGACCTTTCTGGGGTAACAGCTGATCTTGTGTGGCTTTTGTGGAGACGGTTAGTTGCAGGAGATCTGTGTACCAGAGTTAAGAGGCTACCCAGGAGTCCCAGAGGAGCAGGGACCAGCTTAGAAACAAGGAGAGTCAGGGAGGGAGGGGCGGTTTGAGGCTGAGTGGGGGTCTCGATACTCTTGTGAGGCCTTCATCTTCTATATTTAGGTCCTTTTAGTGCCAGCCTATGCCAGAATTTGACTTGCCCAAGAGGCCATCTTTGTTGTCAGACCTGACTGTTAGGAAGAAAGAAAATCCTTCCAGATAAAACTGGAAAGTGTCTTTGATTAAAAAATACCTTGGTTCTAGAAATGTTTAGAAATGAAAAGGAATACCATGGTCACCTTTGTAGCCCCAATGACTATTCCCCCTCTCCTCAAATAGTGGGGACTGAATCCAGGGCTTTGCACTTAAGCCGCACAACCCCCTGCGACCCCTCCCCTTCCCCAGTCCTTTTATTTGTGCTTTTTTGTTTTTGAGATTAAAGTCTTACTAAATCTGCCTGGGCAAGAACTTGGGATCTCCCTCCCTCTACTTGCTGAGTAGCTAGCTGGGATCAGCGGCGCACACCACCATTCCAGGCTGTCTTGGGAAGTGGGGAGTGTCCGTGTTTGATGGTGGATGGCTGCCTAGGATTCCTGCCCCTGGTGTCCAGCAGCAACTACAGACTCCACCTGTTCAAGGCTGACTTCATCTCACAGCTTCACCAATGTCACTGGGGAGTGGCCAGAATCATGGTTCACAAAGATACCCACGTGCCGAGCTCCAGGCCTGTGAACAGTACCTTCATGGTATAAGAGAACTTGCAGACAAACGATAGTGAGTTCTGAGATTATTTGGGGTGATTGATGTGGGACCAGGCTCTTCTCAGTGGTCCTTATGAGTGAAAGAGATCAAGTTGAGAGGCCCCCCCAGCAAGAAAGGGGAGGACATTGCCAGCTATGAAGATGAAGGAAAGGGCTGTATGCCAAGGTGTCCTAGAGAAGCTGGGGAAGGCAAAAAGTACACTTTTTTTGCCCCAGACCTTCAAGAGCGTAGCCCCTTGAGAAGGCTGGTCCAGTGAAACCATCTTCGCAAGAATAGTAAGATAATAAACTTGTGTTGTTTAAAGCGGCTAAGTTTGTGGTCATTTGATACAGCCCCAGTGCGTAGTAAATCCACATCTGGCCAGCTGAGTGTCTCTCCCCTGGGGGCCACTGTGGTCCTAGGCTCTCCCTGTGCTCAAGCCGTTTCTGCCTATGACTGGGCTTACCTTTTGCCAATCTTCTAGATTTGCAGAAAATTTAGAATACTCTAAATTCACTTAATTTCCTCTGTTAACATCTTAAAATAACATGTTTGCCACAACTGACAATTCTAACGTTGCTGCTATTTTTTTCCAGTCCCAGGAAAGGGTGGAGTCAAACTTGAAGGCTCACAAATTCTGAACAAACTCTGTACTACTGAATTGTCCTCAGCCCAACATTACTGTGGGGTTTTTGTTTGTTTTGTTTTTTGGTGTCTGTCAAGGAGTTTGAACTCAGGGCACTGTCCCTGAGCTTTTGTGCTCAAGGATAATGCTTTGAGCTATAGTTCTGACTTTTTTGGGGGGAAGTGGGGGTGATTAATTGGAGTTTCACAGCCTTTTCCTGCCCTGACTGGCTTCAAACCACGCTCCTCAGATTTCAGCCTCCTTAGTAGGATTACAGGTGTGAGCCACTGGATCCCAGTCCAGCATTACTGTTTAAAACAGCTTTATTGAGATGTAATCCACCCATTTAAAGGACACAGACATGTACCCCCACATCTAACTAGACTCTAGACTTTAAGAAATATTCAGAGTGAGCCAGGCACCTTTGGCTCATACTCAAGAGGCTGAGATCTGAGGAGCTTGGTTCAAAGCCAGCCCAAGCAGGAAAGGCCATGAGACTTACTGTCAATTAACCACCAAAAAATACCTGGATATTGAGTGTGGCTCAAATGGTACAGTACTATCCTTGAGTAAAAAATGGACAGTACCCAGCCCTGAGTTTACACCCCAATGCCAGCAGTAAAACAAAGTACACATTTTATTGCCTTTTAGTGTAATCGTAGAGCGACAACCACAATATAATTTTAGAACTTTGTACCATAAAAGAAACCTTGAGGCTGGGCACCGGTGGCTCATGCCTGTAATCCTAGCTACTCAGGAGGCTGAGATCTGAGGATCGAGGTTCAAAGCCAGCCCGGGCAGGAAAGTCCATGAGACTTTATCTCTAATAAGCCACTAGAAAACCAGAAGTGGTGCTGTGGCTCAAGTGGTAGAGCGCTCACCTTGAGCTAAAGAGTGTAGGGACAGCACCTAGGCCCAGAGTTCAAGCCCCATGACTGACAGAAAAAAAAAAAAAAGCCTCAGTACCAATACACACACACACACACACAAAACCCCACAAATGATGGCGTAATAGAACCAGCGTTAGTCCTCTTCACCCTCAAAGTGAGCTCACCACACTTACGACTTTAAACCACACCCAAGTGTTGATTTCTCCCCAATTTCATCTTCAGCATAGACCTTTTTTGTAAGCTTAAAACCTGGCATCCTTGCATTGTTTTAGTGGGCATACCAAAACAGCATGTCCCCAAATGTACTCTTACATACACCCTGCAACCCGCAGCCCTCCCCTATCAGGTGGAGTCAGAGTAGATAGATAAGGAGACAGAGAAGTTAAAATGAGTAATTATTAAAGGGGCCAGACTCTCACATTAAAACTGGGAAATAGAAACTAAAAAACAACCAGTTAAAAGAACAGGAAATATGCAGAGGCTATGCTATCTGTGTCTGCCTTCGTTGAGACCCTAAGAAGCTGCAAACTTCTTAATGGGTAAAGAGAAAATTGGGTCTAGCACCAGTAGCTCATGCCTATAATCCTAGCTACTCACAAGGCTGAGATCTGAAGGTCCCATTTCAAAGCCATTCCAGCCACGTAAATACCTGAGGGCTCTCATCTCCAATTAACCAGTAAAAAGCCTGAAGTGGAAGTGTGGCTGAAGGTGGTAGAGCGTCAGCCAAGTGAGAACAAGAGGCCCTAAGTTCAAACCCCAGTACTGGTACCAAACAAAGAATCTGAAGGCAAATCTGGCTAAGGAAAGTCTCCAAATCACCTGTTGTCCCTGTGTTTTGAATAGTTCTCACCCACGGTTCCAACCCAAGCAAGTGTCTTTTTGTTGTTGTTGTTGTCGGTGGTGGGGCTTGAACTCTGGGCCTGGATACTGTCTCTGAGCTCTTCAGCTCAAGGCTGAAGGCTCAAGGTTCTACCACTTGAGCCACAGCACCACTTCCGTTTTTCTGGTGGTTAATTGGAGATAAGAGTCTCACAGACTTTCTTGCCCTGGCTGGCTTTGAACCATTGTTCCTCAGATCTTAGTTTCTTGAGTAGCTAGGATTACAGGTATGAGCCACTGATACCTGGCCCTACCTTATTTTGTTACACTAAAATAAATCTCTAATAAAACTTTCAGCTGTGAGACTGTTGTGACACCTTGAAATGCTTTTTTTTTAATTAATGTGTGAATCTCTCTCAAGGGTGGTGGATTTTACATGAAACCTGGGAAGCTAAGTGAGCCCCTTATCTATCTTCTGGTGATCAGAACTATCTATTGCTGCAGTTGGTCTTGCCAAAATCCTGCCTCTTTCCTGTCTCTTGCAGCCTCTAATTCAATCTACCAAGAAACCCTGTTGGTTTTACATTTAAAAGATACTCTGGGGGCTGGGAAGATGGCTCAGTGGTAGAGTGCTTGCATTGCATGCATGAGGCCCTGGGTTCAATTCCTCAGCATCATATAAGCAGAAAAAGCCAGAAGGGGTGCTATGGCTCAAGTGGTAGAGCACTAGCCTAGCTGTGAGCTGAGAGCTGAGGGACAGTGCCGAGTTCAGACCCCATGACTGACCAAAAAGAAAAAGAAAGAAAGAAACATTCTGCTTCTGATCACTTCTCTCCACAGCTCTTATCAGCCTGATCTAGGTCATCTGTTACCTGGACCATGGCAGGAACCTTCTCCCAGGTCTCCTGTTTCTCCCTTTGTCTCTGTGGGTCCTTTTCCAAGTCATTGTCCTCCAATAGCTCCCCATTAACTCAGTAAAATTCCATCTGATGGGGCTGGGA